TATAGGGGTAGTAACAATCCAGAAGGTCAGAACAGATCATTATAACACTGAACCAGAGGTGTGATCCATACATCCACAGATTAGTCAGATAACCCTGACCCAATATCACTACCTTCCTCTCAGGAGACTATGGAGTCTACATTTTAACTCCATAAAGTAACACTGTCTGTAAAATTGTAATAACACCCAATTCACTAGCCTCCAATCCAGCATAAGACATTCCTTACCTCAGTTTGACTGGCCTTCACCCAGTTGAATGCAGGAAGTGGAATCTGGCCATACACAGTCACCACTACTAAGGAATCTGTCTGGTGCCAGTCATGACGGCAAGATGCTGGTAGCTAAAAATATGAAATGTCGGTGGTAAAAATGTATGCTTAACCCAAGAGTTCTCATGGTTTGAATGGAGAAGAGACAGAGTTTCAAAAAGATTAACACCAACTCATATTTATTGCAAAGCTTCTGGGTTGTTGGGAGATAAGGAATATAATCTTATTTGGTCCATAGAAAGGGAGATAGAGACCTTGCTATGAATTATGGGGAGGAGAAATTATTTCTGGAATTGGCTTCTAATCAAGAGTTCAGGGAAGTTGGAGCTTACCTGCTTCCCCCAGTCATGTCTACCAACTCTGCATCCTGGCTGTGCCAGGAAGGCCCCAAAATCCAGGGTCTGGATGCCACAACAGCTCCAAGACTTCATCCTGAAGTAGGAGGACAATTCAACTGAATCCCTTTCCATTCCCACAAGCCCCTACTCCCATCTATGTTCAACATTGGGAGAAACCTCTCTCACAGCCCACCTAGTACCCTCCCTCACCCCTCATGGAATCGAGGTGCTCCTGGGTGGTAGGTACATGGAGTAGCATCACTCTCAGGGCCTTGGTAAACCTAAGACAGATCAAGGGGAAAGGAAAGGAATCAGATCATTCTAAAGTGTACTTCATGCAACTTCATATCTACACCTAATCATCTCTTGGGTATAGTATCCCTCAGCCACATGCTTGAGCCCTCATAAACTCTCACTCACAGCGTCACATCCTGGGTTCTGGCAGCTGGAACCAGTCTGGATCAGACTACTGTCAAGTCCTGGGCAAGGGAGGAAAATAGAATTAGGAACCTATCTTTTATTTATTATTTTTTAAATATATTTTATTGATTTTTTTACAGAGAGGAAGAGAGAGGGATAGTTAGAAACATCGATGAGAGAATCATTGATCAGCTGCCTCTTGCACACCCCCTACTGGGGATGTGCCCGCAACCACGGTACATGCCCTCGACTGGAATCAAACCTGAGACCTTTCAGTCCGCAGGCTGATGCTCTATCCACTGAGCCAAACCGGTTTTGGCTATCTTTTATTTTAAAATACGTTTCTATTGATTTTAGAGAGAGAGGAAGAGAGAGATAGGAACATCAGTGATGAAAGAGAATCACTGATTGGCTGCCTCCTGCATGCCACTACTGGGGATTGAGCCCCAAACCATGCTTCTGTCCTGACCAGGAATTGAACCAGTAACTTCTTGGTTTATGGGTCAATGCTCAACTGCTAAGGCACACCAGCTGGGCAGTCAGAAACCTATCCATTACACCCACCTAACTGCCACTTTCACTAAATTCCAGTTTGTGAGGTCTGTCCAACGAAGGACCCACTTACCTGCTCCAGATTCCTGGTCTAATTCCTTTTTTTCCAATGCCATTTCCAGGGCTTGGGATATATTTAGTGGAAGCAGCTTTGGAGGCAACTCTGACCTAGGGGGTAAGGGTGGGGTAATTTAATTCTGACTCATTAACCATGATCGACAGCTCCAACACTCCCACCAGTTCTAATGGAACCCAAGAAGACTGATGAAATTGAGGTCAGGGTTGGAGAAGTTGCATAGAAACCCCATTGCCAATTTCTCTATGGACATCCCAAATCCCTGACTTATCAGGGGGAAATCACCAAGACTTATCTTGCTCATCTACTCCGTTGCTTTAAATCCACATTTCTCTGTAGGAACATACCATTTCCCCTTCCTCTAATTGTGGACCTAATATGACTTTCTTCTAGTTCCACAAAATTAACTTACTCTTCTCTTCAGCCTCCTGACTGCCAATTCTACTACATCCTTTTCTTGATGTAAACCTATTTTAAAGATCTTTTCCAAAAAGGAAAAAAAAAAATCAAGATTTTTCCAATTACCCCTTGTATTATAAATATGTATTCATGAGGGGCTATCTGCCCTGTTAACTCAAAATACCCATCTATCACCCATATCACCTTACAGTAAGGGACATTATTTCTGGATAGATTTCCCTTATGGCACAACATATATACACTAAGCCCTGACATCTGGCCCTCCTCACATCTCTGTGCGCTAGCTTCCAAACTCCAATGACCCTAAACTCCATGAATATAGAAAAAAACCTGGGATCTCCTTTTAAAAACATTTTTATTGATTTCATAGAGGAAGGGAGATATAGAAACATCAATGATGAGAATCATTGATTGGCGGCCTCCTGCATGCCCCCTATTGGGGATCCAGCCTGCAATCTGGGCATATGCCCTTGACCGAAATCAAACCCAGGACCCTTCAGTCTGCAGATTGATGCTCTATCCACTGAGCCAAGCCAGCTAGAATGGGACCTCCTCTTTACTTGGGCCTCTCCCGGCGCAAAGTCTCTGCTGACTTTGGGATCGTAGTCAGTTTTTGCTCCTGAAATGAACTGCTTGTGCCAGGGCCCTCAGGTTGAGGGGCTTCAGGGAGCTTCTCAGCACAGTGTGGTCCCACAGTACAGCCCTAATACAGATAAAGAGAGGATTAGAGATAGAATCTTTCTATTAGGGGCAGAAGCTAAGCAAAGAATTTACCTTGATGTTTAAGAACTCAGAGAAATCTACAGTTCGCTTCCGGCAACAGGACCAACCCTGATGAGACCAAGCTCAGTTTAGATTCCTGAGTGTATTTCTTTTGGGAAATGTTCTTGCTATCCCCCCTCACTTTACCTCACCTTAAGTGCATCATGGAAGATTGGGATCCCAGTGTGATGGCAACAGGAATCTGTGGATATTGGTACAAAGATCAAAAAAGGAAACTATACCAGATGTCACTTCTTACCTCTTCCACAGGCCTGTATGCTTTGGTTTTTCCATATAATTTTTTTTTAAATGTATTTTATTTATTTTTTAGAGAGGAAGAGAGATAGAGTTGGAAACATCAACCACTTGCCTCTTGCACACACCCTACTGGGAATGTGCCCACAACCAAGGTACATACCCTCGACCAGGATCCAACCTGGGACCCTTCAGTCCGCAGGCCGACACTCTACTGAGCCAAACCGGTTAGGGCTTTTGATATAATTTTTAAAAGCCCAGTCAAGATTGAAGACTGCCCAGACCAATTAAACTAGGGAAAGTACTAAATTTCTTTCTACTCCTTTAGCAGACTATCCACAGATGACCATTCCCCAGGATCCGGATCCCCCTGGTAAGACCAGGATTACTCACCAGGAAGATTGGTACTGGGGTCAAAGTGCTGCCCACAGCCTTTGTTATGGCAGAGTAGAGACATGGAAGCGTTGGTAGAATTACTGAAAGGGTATTTCAAGGAGTCTGGCTGCCGAATGGGGAACACCTCTTAGTCTGGAAGCTTTTAGCTGCCTGGAAGGGCCAGCTGTGTCTATCTTTAGTTCAGGAGGCGTACACCTCCTAACATGGGCAAGGGAACTTCAATTGGTCTTCCCAGCCAATAGGAAAGAGCTCAGGAGCATTTTAGCTCTGAGGCTCAAGAAAAGGATTATAGAGTAGGGTTTGGAACTTGGGCGAGGTCAGCTAATCACGGCTGAGACTGTTTTAGATTTACCATGCCAATTCTAAGCCTCAAGACATATTAGCAGCTGCTCAGAAACATATGCCAATTTGAGACCCCTCCCCATGAGAATACCCCAATCCCCCAGCCCATTTTCTTTCAAAGCTTTCCTCCCATTCTTATTACTTCTGTGTACCGACGACACAGATCTTTTGTCAACCACTTCAGCCATAGTATGCATCCAATCCCCATGTTTGCCACATGGATACTTTATAAAACCTACTGATCATCTCCTGAGACAACACCCCTCCCTCCCTTCCCCTTCAAAAATAGCACAGAAAATGAAAAGGATTAAAATGTATTTTAATAAGTTGATGCTGCATTACTGCTTCATTTTCAGAAAAAAAACTCCGAAGAGATCAGGAACGAATCAAACATGGTACACCAATAAAAAATAAAGCATAGCATAACTACTTAAGATAGGCAATGCTAAGAGCTACTGCTGGACATTCATCATACAGCAACCCTGTTCCAAGGTTATTAGGCCTATCAAGAAAAGCTGTGAACAGCAATATCGGACACAAAAGGGCCATTCCTGGGTTGTCCTTACCCAAGAAAAAGATGGAGGCAACACAAGATTTTTCTTTTTTTTTTTAAAGATACACTAAAATGAAAATCTCTAAGAGAAAAATGTATTCCTTAGGGTATGAAGGGATAATATATGGGGTATAACAGAACCGTATGTATGTTATGTTATCTGTGACCTCTGCAGACATTTGCCTGAATTCCCACCTGGGAGTGAATAAAGTAATGGAGGACGTTTGTGGTTTTTGTGGTACATGTGGCAGTGTCTCTGGGGTCAGGAAATTTAAGAATGAGAATGCAAATAGAACAGGATAAACAGAATGGAATGATCAAGATTCATGGGGGCTCTAACGGGATCCACTTTGCCATTGCTCCCCACCCCTGGCCTTCAATAACTGAGACTTCAAGAATGCACCACACAGACATGATTCAACAATATACCACACAGAAATGATTTAAATATCACCCCTCCCTTGACCTCTGTCTCCAGTATACTCCCTAGAGTAGTACAGGCAGGGAAGATCTAACTATTGGGAGAAATCCCTAACACTTTTCCAGGGTAGAATTCTGGCTAGTCCAAAAAGGGTCCTTCTCTTAAGGGTTTTGGGAATCTAGACACTGCAATTTTATTAGTATCGGCGACGTTTGTTTGGAGCAAAATCAGCTCCAGGAGCTGCACGGTTGAATGCAGGAGGGGTTCCACCAATTGCCCCTATTCCTTCCATTGCAGCAGCTTGGCCAAAGCGTTCGGTAGTTGGTGGGGTCTTAAAGAGAAAAAGAGAGCAACATTACAAAAATAACCTATGTCCTAAGCTTCCCACCAATCTGTAGTCCCTCCTCTGGTGGCCATTTCCACCCAATTTTTCAAGGGTCCTGATGCTGGGGGTGCCTGATAGTATTTAAAACTCTAGTTGAGCCTGGCTGGCATAGCTCATGCTTAAACAGTGACCTATGAACCAGGAGGTCACAGATTCCTGGTCAAGGCACATGCCTGTGTTGTGGGGCTCCATCCCCATTGTGGGGCGTATAGGAGGCAGCCCATCAATGATTCTCTCTCCTCACTGACCTTTCTCTCTCTTCCTGTCTGAAATCAATGAACAATGAAAAGAAAAAAAAAAAAAAACAACTAGTGGATAGCCCAGCTGGAGTACACAGTGGTTAAGTGTCAACCTATGAATCAGGAGGTCACTGTTCAATTCGTAGGTTGTGGGCTTGATCCTGTGTGGGGTGTGCAGGAGGCAGCCAATCAATGAGTCTCTCATCATTGATGTATCTATCTCTCTCCTTCTTCCTTCCTGTCTGAAATCAACAACAAAATACATTAAAAAAAAAAAAAACACAAAAAGACTAGTGGATAGATGTCCCTGAAAGGTTACCTGAATTATGGACCCACGCCAACCATCCCACCTTTAATTTTTTATCCCTATTATTTCTCCTTCCTTTTAATCCCTATTCTTATTAGCTAAGCAATATTGGATACTAAATTTCTCAGATGGTTAAGTTCTACTTATGTCCTTTCTGATGAACTAGGTACATGGACAAGGGCAGGCCATCACTTTCAATTAACCTGAAGACTATCCAGTTTTAACATTTTGATATAAGAACTAAAATCACCTCAGGATTGCATGGACCATAAAGTATATTTTGACACTTGGTTTTCTCAGGAGTCCAAAATAAAGATCTTGAGGTTTCATTGGGTAACAGTGGTTCTAATACTGTCATCTGTAGCAAAATTATGGCAAGTCAAGGGATTATGGAAGCAAAGTCCTTTCTCCTCCCATCACCATTCAGGGTTACTATTAAGACCCTGCAGTTATTACCAATCCCAAGGTTCCATCTGGCATCATAGTGGCAGGTCCTGGAGGAGCTGGGGTACCAGCAGGCACAGGAGCAGGGGGCATGGCACCTCTGTTGTTTATGCCCATAGCACCTAAAGCAGAGCAGTGTGATCAGTACAGGAGAAAGATATCATCTGTCTCTTTCCGTTCTAAAGGAAAAAATTCAACAAGACCTTTGTGCTAAGACATGTTACCCCACCCCCCAAAAAATATGCTCCCAGAAATTTGAATTCCTTAAATCCAGACTATGTAAAATAAGCTACATAGCTCACCAGAGACAAGACAAGAAAGGAAATCAGAGCCATTAATCTCCTGAGTCCTTACCTCCCATAGCCATCTGGCCCATCCGTATCTCCTGCTCTCTCTGAAAAATAAAAAAACACTAAAGACAGTCTAAGACAGCACTGCATTCTCCCACAATCCATTGAAGACCACAAACTAAGGAAAGTATAGTGATAACACATCCCAAATACACTGAGACCAAGCTGAGGAACAACAACAGTTTTTCACTAGTTGTACAGTGAGTTCAAGATCAGAGCTACTAGGACAGTCTCCTATTAAGTACAAGAGAGTTATGAAAGGAAAGGGGAAAGATAGTCAATTTTTTTCTATAGCTCCAACCTGTACAACTTTAAGGACAGCAATGGACTGACTAGTCAAGGCTGCTACAAAACTGGATATATCTCATCCTACAGTCACTGAGTCTAAACAGCATATACTGGTCCCAGCTTTTCACTCTAAATAGCCCGTGGGGCAAAAAAGAGCTCTCCTTCAAACCTTACCTTTCCTTCCTATGAATTATTTCTAAAAGGAGTTTCACAAAATGGAAAAATTGATCATAACCTGGTATGTTGTATAGTCCTAGTGGGCAGACAATTCATGATGGGTTTGTCATATCACGACTGGACTGGTACATCATGGGCACAAAGGAGATATACCGCATCAGGGAAGGTTCCCTTGAATCCTTCCTGTTGTCGCCGCATCATTTCTTCCTGCTGTCGCCTCATCTCTTCCTCACGGCGCCTGCGCTCTTCCTCCTGCCTACAGAGTCACCAAGGTATTTAAGCAGAGGTATTCCAGAACTTAAGCCAATTACCTTAATAGGGGACTCAGCCAAGAGGATTAAGAGCCTACTAAAGTCCTAGCCAGTTTGGCTCAGTGGATAGAATATCAGCCTGTGGACAGAAGGGTCATGGGTTTGATTCTGGTCAAGGGCATATGCCTGGGTTGTGGGCTCAATCCCCAGTAGGGGGCATGCAGGAGGCATGTCTCATCACTGATGTTTCTATCTCACTCCCTCTCCCTTCCTCTCTGAAATCAATAAAAACATATATATATATTTTTTAAAGAGCCAACTGAAAACTATCATAGCTCTCCAGGAAGCTCAATGTTAAATATGCCCAGCCCTAAAGCAACCCAGATGGAAAAAAAAAGTTATTTCTCAAAGGAGCCTCATGAGACCAGCCCTCAGCTATTTTTTCTTTGGTGTAGCCCTGGGTAATTCCCAGAACCACTGGCAGCTGAAACATCTCCGATCCAAAGGGAGAACTTCAGAAACAGCCAAGAAATGTTTGCCAACATATTTACAAATACATGAGGTAGCTCGGCGGTAGGAAGCAGGAGTGAGACATTGTGAGAGAAAAAAGTGTTGAGAAGAGTTACCTGAGCTCCAGTTGCTTTCGTTTTTGCACTTCTTGGTTGTGCAGCTCTTCCATCCTCCTAAGTTCTTCTTGACGCCTCATCAAATCTAGAAAAACAACAGACTTGATTGAGAGTATCCTTCGTTCTCCTCAATGGGCCCAATAATTTTCTATAATTAAAGATCCAGAAAGCAAAGTGGATACATAATCCCTCAGTGGCCATCTGAGGTATCCAGATTCCAAAAATTCAGCTAAACCTATTATTTCCTTTTCCATAGAATCCAGTATTCTCTGCCACATCTCCAAGCTCATTTGCCTAACCAAGATCAACAAGATATTTTAGAGGATAAAAGTAGAGGTTTAGGCCTTTTTCTACTGATTAATACTAAGAAACTCTGGAAAAACTTATTCTTTTAGTTTTAAGACTTAGAGGCCTGTACTCACCCTGCCTCATTAGCATGACCTGGTGCTCATGGCGAGCAGCCTCCATCTCCATCTCCAGCTTCTCACGAGCTTCCTTGATGTTGCGGTCCACTTGGTCCTGCTGCTGTTTCTCCATCTCAATGAGTGCCTTCCAGCGCATGGCATATTCATACTCAAAGGAGCCAGGCTGTGCAAATCTAGGTGGCTGCTCCCTCTCCCTAAAGACAAGGTTCCGGTACTACAATTCTGTCTAAAATGCCAATTAAGCAATGTATTCCCCAAGTGCCAAGATAATGGCTGCTAGTAAATACATATAACAAAGACCTGTCTCTTTTACACATCCCTTTACAGGCTTCCTTAAGAACAAGCAAACAGCTAACAGGTAATCTGTAACGACAACATACTTATGAAATTGCTGGTTTTTTATAACCAGCTTCTCTGGAAGTCCTTCTTCATCATCTAACTGGTCCATGGGCTCCACAGTCACAGGTCGAGGAAATCTGGGAAAAAGAAAGATCAAATTATACCCTTCACTAGGCTTGCTCTCTTCACCTGCCACTGACACATGAACTACTTTTAGGGGTCAGGACAAGAAAATTAAACTTATGAAGGAGTTTTATACCCTGTCCAAGTAACCAATTATATTTAATGGCATTATGTGGAAATGTGAAATCTGTTTTTGATAGAATCAAGTCAGGCTTCAGATCTCTGAATACAGCCTTTAAAAAGATGTTCAGCCTGGCTAGTATAGCTCTGTGGTTGAACATCAACCCATGAACTAAGAGGTCACCAGTTCGATTCCTGGTCAGGGCACATGCCTGGGTTACAGGCTTGATTCCCCAGTGGGGGTCATGTGGGAGGCAGCCGATTGATGTTTCTCTTTCTCCATCCCTCTCCCTTACTCTCTACAATCAATAGAAACATAATTACTTAAGTACAGCCTAAATATTATTATCTAAAGAACTCCAGACAACTTGAGATAAATTCTAAGATATTGCGTGCTTTTCAGAGTTATAAAACTTCAAAGGGGAGACTTAACACTGATTAAAAGACTCACTGAAGGACTGAAAAAATTTAACATAAAAAATCTATATCCTGCCCTAGCTGGTTTGGCTCAGTGGATAGAGCATTGGCCTGTGGACTCAAAGGTTCCGGTTTTAATTATGGTCAAGGGCACATGGGGTACATGTCGGGTTGCAGGCTCGATCCCCAGTAGGAAGCATGCAGGAGGTAGCCAATCAATGGCTCTTTCTCATCACTGATGTTTCTCTCTCTCCCTATCCCTTCCTTTCTGAAATCAATAAAAATATATTTTAAAAAATCCTCACTTAAGGATATTTTATTGATTTTAGAGAGAAAGAGGGAGACAGAAACATTGAAATGAGAACCATTTGACTGCCACCTGCATATACCCCAACCAGGGAAACCTGCAACATTCCGGTGTACGGGATGATGTTCCATCAACTGAGCCAGGGCTATTAAAGTTTGTTTTTTAATCCTCCAACTATACTTGTTAATTTAAGATTATGTTAACTACTCTACTAGCCCAGGCAGCATGTCTCACTTCCCGGCCAGGGCACATGCCCTTGTTGTGGGCTCAATCCCCAGTGTGGGGTGTGCAGGAGGCAGCCGATCAATTATTCTTTCTAATCATCGATGTTTCTCTCTCCCCCTCTTGCTTCCTCTCTGAAATTAATAAAAATAAATTTAAAAAAACTTAACTAGAAAGCTGAACTAGTATGAACAGTATTTAAATGAGCACAGGAACAGGGTTTCTAAAGGCTAACTTCCCAGATAACAATGGGCCCTCACTCACGTGGTTAGCAGGAAGGAACCTTCACTGCATCTGTCCAGAGCTTTCCGAGCAGCTGGCTTCCCTGAGAATTCAACAATGCCTTTTCCTGAGGGCCTTCCTCGGTCATCCACAATGACTACGGCCCTCTCCACCTGGCCGAACACAGAAAAAGCTTCCTCCAGCAGTTCGTTGGACACATACTGAGGAAGGTTTCGGACTGTAAGAGATGCACTATGGCAGGCAAAGCGCACACGCAGCTGCTTTCCACGGAGTGGCATGTTGTCCAGCTCTACTTTAGCAATCTCTGCTAGGGTTCGTGTTTCCTAGAAAGCAGAGGGAAATTAGAATAACTCAGCTTAACAGACCACCAAATACACAGCTATAGAGTTTAAAGTAGCACCTGGCTGGCGTTGAGCCCTGACCCAAGAACCAGGAAGTCATGGTTCATTTCCTGATGAGGGTACATGCCCAGGTAGAGGGCTCGATTCCAAGTGTGGGGCATGCAGGAGGCAGCCGATCAATGATTCTCTCTCATCATTGAGGTTTCTCTCCCTCTCTCTCAAATCAATAAAATAAATATATTTGTTTCTCTCTATCCCTCTCCGAAAAAATATCTGGCCAGTGTATATCCTATATAATAAAAGGCTAATATGCAAATTGTCCTCTCAACCAGCAGGCAGGCTGCCAACCGCCCATGTCCCCCTCCCTGGCCAGGTTGGCCAGATCCCACCTATGCAGGAATTCATGCACTGGGCCTCTATATATTAGAAGCCTGATGCACAAAATTCGTGTAAGAGGCTTGGTCCTTGCAGCCCCGGCTTCATCCAGAAGGTTGTCTGGACCGTTATTCTGCTGTTCAATCTAATTAGCATATTAGCTATTACATAGGACACATACGCACACTGAGTAGCCAGATTATTATGCGTTCAGAGACCATAATAATCTGGCCACTCAGTGTATACTTAAAAAAAAAAAAAACACAAGAAGGCAGAAACCATTTGGCTCAGTGGATAGAGTGTCGGCCTGCGGACTGAAGGATCCTGGGTTCAATTCCGGTCAAGGGCATGTATTCTGGTTGCGAGCACATCCCTAGTGGGGGGTGTGCAGGAGGCAGCTGATTGGTGTTTCTCATCGATGTTTCTAACTTTCTAACCCTCTTCCTTCCTCTATGTGAAAAATCAACAATATACATACATACACACACACACACACACACACACACACACACACACACACACACATATATATATATAAAAACCACAAGGAGCTTGACAACAGCATATAAAGAAGCAAGGATAGGACTGAATTGTGTGTGTTTCAGATCACTCTTTGGTTAACCTAACTGTTCTGATGGCCCTGAAAAACCAATTGGAAATCCTAACTTACATGGTTATCAGTATCACAGGTTATTCTGCCAAGGGTAACATATCATCTGGACAACAATGATCAGCATAAAACCTACCCTTACAATACAGGAGAGCTAGAATATTTAAATTTCAGCTAGCTACAAACAACTTAACCAGAATCTCTTATGTCCTCCAAGAGATCTCTTTAGAACCAGGAACCTTGATTGGACCCCCTTCATATTACTAAAGAGGAATCTGAGCCCCAGAGAAAATGACTTGCCCTGAGCGAGTGGTACACCCGGAAGGAATACTAGTTCTGATCACATCAAGTTCCTCATTTATGGAGATAAGTAAAAATATATATATATTAAAAATACATTTTAAAAAATAATTAAGATAATAAATTTTATGTTATGTGTATTTTAGCACAATTAAACTTTAAAAAATATACACAGCTCTGACTGATGTGGCTCAGTTGGTTTAGCATCATCCGGTGCACTGAAAGGCTGCCAGTTTGATTGCTGGTCAGGACACATGTCCAGGTTGCTGGTTGGATTCATGGTCAGGGATTCATGGGAGGCAACTGATGATATCTCTCTCTCTCTCTCTCTCTCTCTCTCCCATCTACTCTTTCAAACCCAATAAAAGCAATATTTTTAAGAAATCTCTGAGGAAAAAATTTTAAATCTGCATTTTTTTGTCCTATTCCTACAACTACAAGCTTTTAGTAGACCATCTGAGAATTATTACTGACTTATTTTCCATATACATCACTGCCCAGCTTCCCCACCTTTGTTCTATAAGCCTACAGTTGCTTACCAAGCGGATAAAGCCAAAGCCCTTATCCTTATGAATGAAGACTTCGCCTGCCTTTCCATATTTCTCAAATAATTTCCTCATTTCCTCCTCAGTGATGTCAGGAGGAAGATTGCCCACAAAGAGCCGGCTACGTTGGGTAAAGGTCTTCTCTCCTGGTTTCCTAAAATTCTTCAGGTCAATAGTCAAGCCTTCATCTGAGAGAAGATAAGAGATTTACAGTCATTAGGAAACCTAATTGCTATAGAAAAGCCAAACACCACTTCCCAATGCAATCTATCCACTAACCACTTATCACTAAATTGCACCTTAGAATATGAAAGCAGTATACATATATTGGGGGGTGGGGGTGGCTACTGTGGGCCAGGAACCAACTTGGACTAAATCAAAGGCAGAAAGACAATACAGGAGCTATTGGCCAAAGAGAAAATTAAGCAAGTCAAGGAACTCTATGTAAGAAGGGACAGATTTTTGAAGTATAAAGCACAGTTGTTCCATTTTCCAATCTCACTCATCTTTATAACCTTACAGTTCCCATTCTCTCAGGCTTGGGGAATAACAGAATAAAAAGAAATTAGGTAGGCTCTAGCCAGTTTGGCTCAGTGGATAGAGCGTCAGCCTGCAGACTGAAGGCTCCTGGGTTCGATTCCGGTCAAAGGCACATGCATGGGTTGTGGGCTTGATCCCCAGTAGGGGGCGTGCAAGAGACAGCCAATTAATGATTACCCATCATCATTGATGTTTCTATCTCTCCCTTTCCCTTCCTCTCTGCAATCAATAAAAATATATCTTAAAATAAAAAAGAAATGAGTTAGGAAAATATTCTTTGTGAAATTTCAGAAAATTAAAAAGGTTTGAAGTAGGTTTTACTCACCCCCTCCCCCCTAGCTGCCCAAAACCATTTAGTCCCTCTATGCCCTTTCCCACCTCCACCCTCTGCCACAATCACAGCATCATTGTCCACGTCTGAGTTCTCCCCCACCCCCTTTTAGGTTTTAGAGGCACACAATAGGCATTCAAAGTTTGCTGAACAAATGGAAACATACCTTTAAAGACTTTTCACTGATTTCAAATGGGCTGACACAGGCCCCAGGCTAAAGTGTAATAATACTCAGTACCAGACTACTTCTCCATTAAGTCTTAAAGACTTGCTCTATATGTTCCCTAATTATCAATTATCTGATTACTTCTAGGAAACCAAGCTTTGAGGCAAAACATGCAGACATCTGTTTAGCCAACACAGCAAGGCAACTTACACTCAACGGCTATCCCTACATGCCTGCTCCTTGGTTTCAGAGAATCAGCCTTTTTCTATCTTAAGTATTAAGAGGTAAATAGAACAAAGACTTATTCCTTTACAATCCCAAAAGACTCATCTAAAAATCAAAAACCCAGCCCTAGCCGGTTTGGCTCAGTGGATAGAGTGTCCGCCTGTGGACTGAAGGGTCTTGGTTCAATTCTGGTCAAGGGCACATGCCTGGGTTGCAGGCTCGATCCCTAGTAAGGGGCATGCGGGAGGCAGCTGATTGATGTTTCTCTCTCATCGATGTTTCTGACTCTCTATCCCTCTCCCTTCCTCTCTGTAAAAAAAAAAAAAAATCAATGAAACATATATATATATATAAAATATATTTTAAAAACCAAAACCCCATTCCTAAGAAGGAACCTATCTAAACCCCATTACTTAGCATGCACTCACTTTGGCTGCTGGCTTGTTGGCCATTTGCAGGTACTGCTGACGGCGGTGGCTGCTGCTGTTGCTGGTGGTGCTGCTGGTGGTGATGCTGATGATGCTTTCTTGGAGCATGGTTTTGCTTCTCCAAGTTAAAGGTTTTATTGCTCTGCATATTTTGTACCCTAATAAGAAAATGTGGACAGTCAAATACATTCAGTGCTAAGAATGTAGTCACCTTCCTGATGACTCATATTGTTTGTCATCAATCATCATTGGTATCCTGACTTTTGCCAGATCCTAAAAACTGGTTATTTTGAACAAATATGGCAAAGGAATACAATTCAGAAATATAAAACAACCGTGCATTAGCAGTTATGTGGCATACAGAAACTGGACAAGAATCAGACAAGAACAGCTTGCAGTAGAATGACCTGAGGAATCTTCTAGTTCAATAATTTTACATATAATAGGAAACTACTTTTCCAAACAGATCTACCCCTTTACTGTTAGCCCTATTATAAAATTATTAAAGCACATTTTAAAAACACGACTGCCCTAGCCAGTTTGGGCAACAGGGGCTGCAGCAGGAAGGGCTGGGTGGTGGTGTGAAGGATGGGCCAAGACCCGCCCCTGTGCCCACTGTAACCTCAAGGCCCACAGTTCCTTTCAAGGTGCATGAAGTCATGCACTAGGACCCTAGTGTAAACATAAAATGTTAAATTCTGTCATCTAAAAATTAAAGATTAAAAGAAAACAAAACGAAAATTTCTGGCATGATCCAGAAATTGGCAGTTGATGGTTTTAAACTGACATCCAAGGACAGCTCTTCAGTTAATGAAATAAAAGGGCAAAGTTAATTCTAAACACAAGACCCTGTAGGCAGAATTTAGCTGAAGGAAAGATATAAAGAAACCTTATGGTGAATACATCATATGATACCTTTAAAACAGTGCAAGCTACATTTTAGATGAAGAAAATAATTTTTGGATAATGGACATATAAGAATACTTTTCTGTGCATAAAAATCCTTAATATATTTTATATCATATCCCACCAAAACTGGGAACTTCATTGCAATTATTAAATACTGTATCAACAAGTTGTTTCACAATAGGTAACAAGAACTATCAAAATGTTCATATTCTTTAACTCAGGAATTCTGTTCCTAGAAATTCATCCTAAGAATTTTTTAAAATTTAAAAATCACACTCATGAAATATTCACTGCAATGGTGTTTATGGACAATAAAAATGGTAAATAATAAAAAATGACTTATATATCCAAAATCAGAGGCCTGGTTTTTTTAAAAATATATTTTATTGATTTTTTACAGAGAGGAAGGGAGAGAGGTAGAGTTAGAAACATCAATGAAAGAGTCATTGATCAGCTGCCTCTTGCACGCCCCCTACTGGAGATGTGCCCGCAACCAAGGTACATGCCCTTGTCTGGAATCGAACCAGGGACCCTTCAGTCAGCAGGCTGACGCTCTATCCACTGAACCAAACCGGTTTCGGCCATGTTAAACATGAAAAATTGATACTTTAAGAGGGAAAGGGCCAAAACCGGTTTGGCTCAGTGAATTGAGTGTCGGCCTACAGACTGAAAAATACGGGGTTCGATTCCGGTCAAGGGCATGTACCTTGGTTGCGGGCACATCCCCAGTAGGGGGTGTGCAGGAGGCAGCTGATTGATGCTTCTCTCTCATCGATGTTTCTAACTCTCTATTTCTCTCCCTTCCTCTCTAAGAAATCAATAAAATATATTTTAAAAAAGGAAAGGATTTTTTAAATTCATAAATGTAGATAAGGAACAGAAGATAGGCAAAAATAAAAACTGTCCTGCTTGTTATAGATTATTGATGATTTTTTCCTGTTTTTATTATTTTTTAAATTAATTATCAGTGTACATATCTTACCATTCTCCCCCCTCCTATACATACCCTCCCTCCCCAGAGTTTTGTGTCCATTGGTTGTACTTATAGAATGTATACAAGTCCTTCAGTTGATCTCTTATCTCCCCCAGATCTCCCTACCCTGCCTGCTGTAATTTGACAGTCTGCTTGTTGCTTTACTGTCTCTATATCTACCTTTTGGTTTATCAGTTTAAAATGTTCTTTATTATCCATAAATGAGTGAGGTCATGTGGTGTTTCTCTTACTGATGATTTTTTTTTTTTTACTATTTTTCTTTACTAAATCAATCATTCAACAAATAAATATTCACTGAATGCCAACTATTTGCTAGGCACTATTCTAGGTGCTTGGGATGCATTTATGAACAAAGCAAATATTCTTGCCTTCTGGGTCCTTACCTTCTAGTGAGAGACAAAACAATATACATATTAATTATATCACACAGTAGTTAAGAAGAGGTGTTACTGGAAAATAAAAGGGGTGGGGGGAAGAGGCAAAATAGATAGGAAGTAAAAGGTAGTAATTTTAAATAGAGCTGTGAGGTAACATGTCACTGGAAAGTTGGCATTTAAGCCCAGACTTGAATTTTCTCATTTATGTCAGTTCATCAGTTTTATTTCTCATTAATAAGGCACCTATCACAAAATATCTTTGTTATAAAAAACTTAGATATAAAAACAAAAATAAATAAAAATCCAAAGACCCAGCACTAAAAAAACAGTTAACATTTTGGTATACCCTCCTAGTCAGATTTATATATTTGTAGGTAACTCTAAATAGAATACAATAAAAATTATTTTATAATGCCTTTTCTATTTTACGACACATGACTAACAGTTTTCATGTTACTAAATCTTCTACATTGTTAATGCACAGTATTCAGTTGTCAACCAAGATACTATTGTGTTGGACACGTGTTGTTTCTAATTTTTCATCATTATAAATAACGCTCAAGCTAAATCTTGGGGCATAACCCTGAGTAAATATTGCTCTGTTTCCATTTTTTATTCTTTAGCTTTCAGAAAACACTATATTATGACTATAGTCATAATGCACCATTGTATATTCAGATTTTCCTCATCTCTATAGTGAACATAATTATAATTTTAACAGCTACATAAAGCCCATGTGGATTTACTAAACTACTCTCTACTATGATACATTTAGGTTGTTTTCAATATTTCCTATTATAACACCGCAGTAAATATCTTTGTGTTTGTAGCTTTCTGCTTAATTATTTCCTTAGGATAAAAATAGTATAACCGTATCTGTGACTCTTGCCACATAGGGAAGCATTGTTTTCTCAAAAAATTGTAATAACTTTAAATGCCATGAAGAGGTGTACAGCAAATCGGTTCAGATTGAAATCACCTCGGTTGCAGGCTAGCCTCCAACCCATCAGGGGGCGCGCAGGAGGTAACCAGTAGATGTGTCTCTCTCATATCAATCAATGTTTCTGTCTCTCCCTCCCCCCTTCCACTCTCTCTAAGAATCAATGGGGAAAAAATATCCTGGAGGGGGGGGATTAGCAAAAAAGTAAAAATTTTAAAAAAGGAAATCATTATTTTAAAATAAGAAATATATAAAAGAAATAAAAGCATATAAAAGTTAAAGTCTACCCCAGCAACAGTTGGGAGCAGGTTTAAGTTGGGCATTAGAATCAGATATTTTCCTATTTTATACTTTTTTCCTATAGATATTTTTTGAGTCCCAGCTATTAAACATCTCCTTTCCCTGACCTCAAAGTGGCTTACAACAGAAACTTGAATGATTTTCACAGCCTATTTTTCAAATAGGTCTTATCTCTGGCTAGAGCCCAAAGACCCTCTTTTTCATCCTCAGCCTTTAAGGCACTAGCCTCAGTACCTTGCATCCCATTAAGGAATCTACAATTTATAATTTACATGTTAATAGAAATCCTTAGAAATCCATTCAAAACTGAAATATTAAAAACTCTTATCTTTACATCTTACCCAAACCTCATCATTCCATTTCAAAAGGCCATTTTACAACTTTTTAATAGAAATGGCCTATTTTTTTGAGGATAAAGTTCTAAAATGTTCTAGACCATTTAATTTAAATTACTTCAAGGGAGGTTATTTTATTTAAAAAATTCTTTATTGTTAAAAGCATTACATATCTCTCCCCGACCACTGACTTCTCTCAGCCCACACTCACACAGGCCATCACTCTGCTACTATCAGTGTCTATTGGTTATGTTTATATGCATGCATACAAGTCCTTTGGTTGAACTCTTACCTCCTGTCTCCCCTTTCTTCCCTCTGAGGTTTGACAGTCTGTTTGATGCTACTATGTCTCTGGATCTATTTTTGTTCATAAAGTTTATGTTGTTCAAGGGGAGGTTATTTACTTTATAAGCATAGTATGGCAGTTAAGGTGGTGATACAAAATATCGACCATTATGTCAGGCACTGTGCTAAGTCTGCATTATCTCCTTTAGTAATCACAACTATTATTATTCTGGATAAGAAAAATGATGCCCAGCCAAGGTCACATGGTGTGATGGAGCATGGAGTGGAGAATCCCATACTCACCTCTATACTACAGGCTTTTGTAATTACTCATTTCCATTTCAGAGTTCCAAACTAGCCATGGTACCTAACTTGAGCCTTAATTTCCTCACCTGTAAGATGGAGATAACAATACCTACTTTACAGGGCTGGTGTTTTAAGGACTAAGTGAGGCAATGTACATAGCAGACACTTGTTCCTGCTGGAAGCCATTATCCTTATTTCTACATATGGTAGGTGCTTCAATTAGACAAATGTCATTAATTACATTCTACCTCCTCTCTTCTCGATTATAGCAAAAATCACTTGTATAACCAAATTCCATACCTTTGGGTTTTTAAATAAATGTGTCCATAATGCTCATCTTTATAATCTTCCCTTTTTGTTCTTTCCCAAGCAGGCATTCAATGGAAGACTATGTAATATTGTATAAATCCCTTAAAACAGTGCCCACAGAGTAGCTAGGTACTCAGTAAGTATTGTCCCTATCACCTACTTCTGATGATGATTACCAATATAATTTGGGAATATGTGCAGAAATCACTGGCTCCCTATCCATGGGGCCTCTGAGAAGAGAACAAAGTACAATGATCAACAGCAAGGATTTCTATCTGCAAGACGAACCTTGAAGAAGTACTTGAGAAAATATGTATTGCTGATTTAGAAAGACGGGGGCTACTGGGCATGAGATACAATTTCACAAGTGTTTAGATACAGGACCAAGTGCAT